GTGCCGAGCCGGGCTTTGCAGCGCTGAGCTGTGCTGAGCCGTGCCGAGCCGAGCCGGGCTTTGCAGCGCTGAGCCGAGCCGAGCTGAGCCGGGCTGAGCTGTGCCGAGGCGACCTGTGCCGAGCCGGGTTTTGCAGCACCGAGCTGAGCTGTGCTGAGCCTGGCTTAATCGTTCCGAGCTAAGCCGAGCCGAGCCGGGCTCCCAACGCCGCTGTGCGGGGCTTGCTGCCCTCGGTAGCTGGGAAGCCCATAAGCAAGGGGCAGCCGGGGGCTGCCGCTTCCTTCAGCGGGACGTTTTGGGTTCGAGTGGGTGTTTTTGAGGGTGTGTTTCCCCTCGATTCCTAGCGGGACCGTTTTTTTTTCCCTTCTCTCTGTTTTGGCTTCTGACCCCCGGGGCTGTGCAGCCCCGGTGCGGGCAGCCCAGGTGCGTGGAAGGGGGGTTGTCCTTTCCCCGTGTTGCACTTGGAGCCTGGAGATGGGCGCCAGATTTTGTACTCACATGCTTCCTTTGTAAATAAATACTCAGTAGTGCAACTGAAAGGAATGGCACGGTACCAGAGGTTTACCGGCAGTCTGGATCAAAGCCCATCAGTCTTTTTGGCACAGGAGTATCTTTTTTTCTCATTTTAAAGACTTGACGTGGGAGGGAGTGAGTTCAAGTGACTGTGCCACATCTAATCAGTGGGTTCAGCACCCCTTGCTCCTTTGCGTTAGTGGGTGGTTACTGCAGACAGTGATCAGTGTATATATTGCTCTGTAACTTGTTCTCACTAGAAGCAACGTCCCACTTGCAAAGTATGAATAGGGCTGATGGAAACCAGCTCTCTTCCCAGACTGATTTGATGTGCTGCTGGCAGTAGCGTGTTTTGCTGATTGCTCAGCTGTGATCCTGTTTCACCTGTTTCCCGTGCCTATCTATGTACTATACATGTACTTTTATTAGTAGGGGAATTTTGTATGCATTTTCTGTGCTTATTCCCCGTGATACATACACGGTCATGCCGATACAACGGTGCCTGTCTCCACAGGTGCACTTTGTTAACACAAAACCTGAGGAGGGCAGCTCGTACCATTGTGCAGCTCCAGGTCAGCAGAGCTTTGAAGCATCTGCTTAGTATTAAGCATGTAAATAGTCGCATGAAATGTAGTAGAGCAAATTCCCAAAGTTGAGAATACACTGGGAGATCTTCCAGAAGGGAGCTGGGGATGGTGCACTCCTTCCCCCACCAAGCTTCCAGCAGCGGGTGAGGCATCAGAAACGTGTGCTGCAAGCAACCAGCAGCGAGACGCCTCTAAACACCCAGGCTGGCCGTTTCCTGTAAGCAGCAATTCCAAGGAAAAAAAAGCAGATAGCTCTGGGACATTAAAATCATGATGATATTTGCAACTCAGTGTCTTGCATGAGATGTGACCGCACGGAAGAACCTCTTCTGTCTCGTTTATATTTAGATGACAGGAATTACTGACACAGAAGAGCTTCCGTTTTTTCATTCCATTTGAATCGACACCAGGAGGACAAAAGCCTGTCCCAGGTTGTCAGCCTGGTGCTTTTTCACTTCAAGGGAATTCATTTGGTTGGTTTTCATATCCAGAGAGTACCACCATCCAAATCAAAATGGTGTGCTGGCTGTAAAGCAGCAAGGCACGTTGCAGTGGCGTGGTGGGAAGACAGCTTGGGTTGTAGTCTCCCAGCCAAGTGGGATGGACTTCTGCAAGGAGTTGTTCAGCACGAGGAGGCGGAGGAGTAGCCAGCACAGTGCTCTCTCCGCATTCCTCTCCGTGTAGCCAAACCAGAGCCTGAGTCAGCGAAGCCACACTCGCAGGAGAGCAAGCACAGCACCATGGTTGTGGCCAGGGCTGGGCAGCACAATGTATGTTTTTAAGCCCTGCTTCTGCCCGTGGCTTCCTGTCCTGAACAAGCCATTTAACCTTTCTTCATCATGGTTTCTTATCCCATAAAAGAAGGAAATTATACGTTTCAGAGGGTAACAACAGGGTTAATTCCGTATTGCATGTGGCATACATGGAGGGAAATTGTGGAAAAAACACCCATGAACCATCTCTCACAGGTCCCCAAAAGACAGCTGTGAAAAGCAAATCCGCAGCTCTGACCAGCTAGGTCTGCAAACTTTCTAATGGGGTCTGCAGTTTTGCTGGGAAACATGTACAGGTCCCAAAAAGAAAAAAAAAAAAAGGAATTTGCTGCTTTTAAGATGAGAATGTGCATGGTTTGCAGGGTGTATTTCTGAGAGTTCAAAACGAGTAGCTGCGTTTGAACTGAATGGGATGACACCAGAATTGAGGTTCAGAGCCCATGTTGGAGTGTCTTAATGCCTAAGAGCATTATATGCCAATGTGCTGCAGTGGTTTGTGTCCCTTAAACCAACATAAAGCATCCAGAGTTGAATCCCCTCTCCAACCTCAGCTCCAAAAGCACCTCCCAGCACAGCCGCTGTTCCCTGTTCAGTGACAGGGATGAGGCAGCCCAGCACCCATCCTCATTAGGACCACCAGCCACCATCCTGCTGTATCCATGGAGAGTTTTCTCACAGGAACAATACCCATAACGCAACAAGGTCGTCTGATCCAGTTGCATGGAGCGGACTCAGCACAGGGTAACACAGAAACATGAGATCCCAGTTGTCTCAGAACTTGTTTGCATTGGCCACGGCTGCTTTCTCAGAGAAATTTCATTTCGATTTGTAGCTGAAAGCAAAACACAGCGCTATTCTAGCTACTAAAACGAAACCCAGCTCTGTCCCAACTGAAAATCAGGACACTTTTAACACATCTTGTAGCACGGAAAAGGCCCCATCACAAGAGCTGTCAGCCCTCTCCCAGGCTGAACCTGGCCAGCAGTTCCCATTTCGCCACAGAGTTTTGCTTTTCCTTCATTCTTGGCTCTATCACAACTTTCTTTGACCATGTGCCTCCCCTCCCCACATTCACATCCAGTTTTGAACAGGTCAGTAGCCCACAGACACCAGAGGAGAGGTGGCCAGTGCAGGTGCAGGAGGGGAACCACTGCCACAGCAGGCTTGAGGACTTCTGAGTGCTGGTAAAATAGCTGACCATCCCTTGCACGACACGGTAGAGCTGCTGGGCTGTCCTGCAGTGTCGCCTCCACCTCTGCATTGCAGAGTGCCTGCTCACCACGGACTGCAGCAGCCCCCCTGTAGCACACCCTGCTCCCCAGGCTGTCTCCTGCACTGGCCCCTCTTCACTCTCCACATCCCTACATGAAAGGCTGTAACAAAAGCGCCACGTTTCTGAGCTAGCCTGTGTAGCAGTGCTCACACTCATTTCATAATTGTACTCCACCACTAGAATGTTTTTAGCAAACTGGAGAGGAGAACCTCATTTATTTGGGGCTCTGCAGATCAGTAGCTTTGGTTTACTCCTGCCAGCGCTACATCCCTGCAGTGGGAGGGGTTCTGCAGACCAGGACACTGTGAGCCCATGTGTGCTGGTGTCAGGGGCTCTGCTGGTGGGGTTAGAGTTGAGGGGTGAGGAGGAATAATCAAGCAGTTTTGTACAGCTGTGAAAGCATGGGGAAACCTAACCTGTGGTTTTTGCTAATATTTGAGGACAATTGGGAGTCCCAGAGAGGAAGCATTTAGTTATTATTTTTCCTGGTTTTATATTCACTCAGATTATCCCTGAGTAACTTTCTTCTCTCCAGGGCACTAGGCAGCCCTCTCCGAGCCTCACAAGTCCTTTTTCCCATAACACATGTCAGGTCCTGCTACATCTGTTCACAAGTGGGGAAATCAAGGTACCTGAAGAGTTTCACCCACATTCTCTAAAGCAACCATTGATCATGTGGACCTTTAGTTGCCACCTGGGTCCTAATATTTGAGAGCCACCATCCAAAGCCAGAGGTAGTGGAGGGTGTGAGGACTTGGCCTCAGCATGTGATGAGACACAGAGGATTCACACATACTTTAGCATTGGTGACTCCCCTGGGACATGGAGCAGGTCAGCATCAGCTCAGCCAAACCCAGCAATACAGTCTGAACTGGACAAACTGGATGATCTTTACTTGTAGTCCTCTGGATCTTGCTAACTTGAGAAGTTATTTAAAGTAAATGCTCTCCTGGGTTGATTAGCTATTTATTGCTGTTCTCTAAGCATTTTTTCCCATTAGCACAAGGGTGTGCACAGTAAAGACAGCAGCATTTACTATGAGATCTGTGCTAGGTTCTGCCACAGAAAACAATCCAAGGAAACCTTGGTGTGACCCCAGTTCATTCTTTTCTCCTCTCCAGGGCATCTGTGACCAGGAGGACGTTCGGGCATAGTGGCATCGCTGTGCATACGTGGTACGCCTGTCCAGCACTAATAAAGTCCATCTGGGCTATGGCCATTAGTCAACATCAGTTCTACCTGGACAGAAAGCAAAGCAAGGTAAGCATGTTGGAGGTGGGAAGTGCATGTTGCAGTGGGTGAGTCCTTTTCACTCCCCCCAGTCCCAGCAAGGTCAAGTCCAGATGTTGGCTCCTTTTCTGCCCTCCCTTTCCACTTGAGATCCAAAAAAAGCGAATTGACTCAAAATATCTGCTGGCTTTGTCCAGATTGAGGGAGTTTTTATCAAATTCATGGCTCTGGGAGTGAGGATTAAGGGAAGAGTTGTACTGAACTGTGGCCAAATTGGAAGAGCCAAAGTTTGCAAGCAGATGGGGTTTTGTCCCTGTCTGAATGGTTTCCACACATCTTCTGGTTCTTGAACTCTGTCATAAAGTTACGACAGCTTTGAATAACAGTTCAAAGTAGCTTCACACTCTACACCTGTTTCTGAATCCTTCTTGCTGTCCCTTGCTTTCTGCTATTGTATTGTCCTAGAAATGAGGGGTAGGGATATTATTTCTCTCTCCACACAGAATCTCACAACAGAATGAGGGGGGCAGGATGCCAGCAGCCTGGCCCTACAAGGAACTGTCTTGATCTGGTGCTGCACAAAGGGCCGCTCAGTACACAAAAGACCACCTTGAAACCAGACGGGTCCGTGTTATCCCTCTAGTTCCTTTCATCATCAGTAATTTTAGGCATACTCAGAGCAGCAGGAGATCACTTTGATCACTTTGAGATCACTTTGAGACAGAAGAGCAACTTCTCATGGAGATGCTCCTCTCCATATAAACATGCTGATGTAAAACTTTACAGAGAAGATAGAGTCTGTATTGAGAGGGTACCTTCTTATACAGCTGCCTGCATTTCCCCCCATCTCTGGTGAGGTGGCAGGAACGTGCAGGGTGATACTCCTCCAAATGGCTGAAACAATTTTAACATCTTGCTATTGCTGAAAACGCCGTCCTCATTGTCAGGCAGGGGCTGTTCCCTCCCTTGCACAGGCCCTAGCCCTGTCAGGTCCCTTCGTGAGCCAGTTCAGCCCACTAAACTGGCGGAAAAATACTTCTTTTTCCTCTTTTTCTTTGCTACATTATTTTTCTGACAGTTAAATACATTGAATTGGCTTCCTGAAATTATATGAAGGGCCATCAGTGTGCTATTAGTCCAGCTCACTCTAAATCCTTCCAGCGTTGCTTTCCCCATCACGTCTCTGTGACTTCATTGTAGAGTGGGTAGGACTTTTGGGTGCCTTGGGCAGAACACATGGTTACACCAACTTTGGCCATGTCCCATCTAAAGCAAACAAACAAAAAAAGAGATTCATCTTTGTTGCTGTGAGCTGTATTGAATTTGGGGGCGTAGCTAACTTCCCACCTCTGCCTGAGCGCCAGCTGTGAATATTGACAAAACTGCACACTCACCCAATACCAGATAAGGGTTTCCTGTCCCCATTCCTCTGCTCAGCAACACCAGGGCAATGCATTAGCCCTCTGTGTTTTGCTCCTAACAAAAACAACTCAGCAAACAAACAGAAGTTTGGTGTTTTTTTTTACTTTTAGCCAGATGGATTTGCTGATCTAGCTGCAAGGTATTTAAGTCACAAGCAACCAACAAACAAAAGGAGATTCCCTCCTCCCCCAGTTTCTTTGGTAAGAAACTGGGTCTCTCAGATGCCCAGGACTTCCCTTCAGTGACTTCTTTTGTTGTTGGCAGATTGTGTTTCAATCTGATCTCCCCTCTCTCACACTCCTACAGACAGCACCACCCACCAGCCCTCGTTTGTCAACCTGTCACGTCTGTGACCATGTCAGTGTGCTTTGTCACAATAATCCCAGTGGTCATACTGAGGCTTTGAAGTTAAGACATACAAATATTTTTGTCCCTTTCTCTTAAGGGAGCTGGTATTTTAGTCTGTTGTCCTTGTCTTTGACGTGACACTGTCAAGATTGATAGATCCATCGATTTTAATTGATCTGTTAAATTCTTCCTGCTGGTCACTTCAGGACACTGCACCCCTGTGTGCTTTGCTTTTGCAAAAGCAGTAAAACACACATCAGAGTGGGGTGATGTGAAATGTCTTAGTTTCAGCTCTCAAGGGCTTAGACAAACATTTATTTGAGTTTCAGGTCTCATGGGCTCACATCCCCTTAAATCTCAGTCCCTACTTCAGTTGAATCCCCAACTTCAAAGCAAAACTGAGATACTCCATCCTTTCATGTCCAAACTTGTCATTTCATATCATTTTGATGAAAGAGAAATAAAAACAAACTTAGAAGAAAAAGCCTGCTGGAGCTCACTGCAACTGAGCCTTCACTGCAGTGACGTAGATAAGATGGCAGGAGATATGGCATAGTGATAAAGCAAGCTTGAACTCCATGCTTTTCACATAACTGGGCACCAGTTGGATCTGGACCTTCTGCACAGCTCCACTGGCAAATCCTCTTCACTTGATTTTGAAAAGAAATAAAATCAGCTTGCCTGGATTTTGACCCTTTTGCAAGGAAGTGAGGTCCCAGCCTCACTTCTTTGCAGGCTCAATCAGTGTTGAACTCCTGCCAGCTCGCCGAGTTCCCAGCATCTTGTTCCCTGCTGATCAGTCTCTCCCTGCAATCGAAGCGTAACGTGGAGACTGAAAAGATCCCCGGCTTTCCGGATGAACATGTCAGCGTGCAGAACTCCTGTCGGCTTCCCTTTTTTTTCAGGAGACAGATGTAGCAGGACTTCAAGGCATGTCTTTGCTCTGTTGACTGCACTGAGTCAATCAAGTGCTTGGCCCAGAAGCCTTGAGAAGTCCCTATTTGTGGGAATTTCCAGCAGCACATTCCTCCAAGCAGAAGGCTTTTTGGCTGAATGAACCGGTAGAAAATAGGCCAAGGGTTTCAAAAAATCACCTGCAGCAAAGCCTCGTCACTGCAAGCAAGAGAGAGAAATTCATCCCTAGTGTCCATCTCCTCTTACATTTCACTGATGGATTTTTCTTCACCCTCTGACCCTGTCAGAACAGCACTGGGGATCAGTTTGGCCCCGTGCTTTGAAATGACTCATGAATGAGGCAGTCTCCCTCCATGTAAATGAGACTTGGCAGGTCTGCGCTAAGTGCTTTAAAATTTTTGAGCCTGGAGGGACTGCAGGGCCCGAGGGAGCGCTAATGGGATGTAATCTGGCTTTCCACTATTGTGCTGTCAGTACAAAGTCTAGCCCAGGCCTCATGCTGGCTGCTGCTCAGTGGCCT